CCCCAAAACCCCAAAACCCCAAAACCCCAAAACCCCTTCAAAATTTGGTTAGGTTGAAATTTACCAGGATTAAAATTTAAAATCTAAACCTGTATGTTTTCAGAAGATTTCTTCGATATACCTCTTTTCCAACCCGGTAAGTTATTGATCAATAGACCTAATCCTTTTATAGATCAAAACTCCTCAGATCTGCAATTGGATGAAAAGAATCGTAAAACTATTAACAAAATAAGATCGCAAGAATACCGCAAAAGAAGGAAACAATACATCCAAAACTTAGAGCAAAAGAACAAGCTTCTTCAGGAAGAGAATACACTTCTGAAGCAAGAGATTCAATCTCTGAAAGCTAATGCCAGAGATTCATCTGGACACTCCTCTTCAAAATCAGATTGGAAGAGTAAAGTGGATCTTAGTGAAAACTTTGCCTTCTATCAGCTGCCAACAATGGTCAAGAAGAACAAGGAGAGTGTTAGATTTAGCCAACTCGCAATGGCAGCTTTTGATGCCTGCAACTGGAACCCAAATAGGATTCAGGTTATCAAAAATTCTTTCAATGATATCATCAACTATATCATTGCTAAAGATGCAAAATGCCTTGTTTCTGCCTTTAAAAATATGAAGCCAAGTGAGTATCTTAAAAAAGTTAATAATAAAAGATCCTACAAAGGTACGTAATCTAGAATTTTATCAGTCTTCTAACACTGTGATTTAGCAAGGTATAAAGAGCTAATGGATCAGTCTCCACGTGAAATACTCCTGAACCAGAAGCTATCTGACCCCTTGACCACTTACCTTAACAACTATGGTTCTGACTTCTTCAAGAATTTAAAAGACTGTGGGAGGCTCGTTTAAGAAGTTAATAAAAATCAGAAACGAAATTATCAGCAACTCTCTTAAAAGGGAGCAGATTCTTGTCGATTCAAACCTAGTAGAGAGCTTCACAAAGTCCGACTACATCAAACTCTGTGAACTAGTTGTGAAATTAGATGGCAGCAAGTACCTGAGTCCTCATTACTTATGGGACATCCCCTGCAGAAACAAGGAGTCTAAGGAATACCCAAGCTATTACTTATCAGAATAACCTATGACGTGATTTTTATAAATTTCAGTTTACTGTCAAAAAAATGGGGTTTTGGGGTTTTGGGGTTTTGGGGTTTTGGGG